GTGAGATAAGTTCAGAATACTTTTTAAATCCCATCTCTCGATATTGCTGTTGCAGGAGCATATTCGAGGCATGAAAAGTGGTGAAAGTTTTCTCCAACATATCATGATCAGCAATATTATCACCACATAATTTCAATTGGGAAATAATTCTGAACATAACAGAATTATACTCACTGATAGATTTAAAATCTTGTAGCCTTAGATGAGTCCAATCATATTGTGTCTGTGGAATAACGACCATCTTCAGGTGGTCATATCTATCTTTCAAATTATTCCATAGTATGACTGGATCTTTAACAATAAGATACTCCATTTTCAGGCCCTCATCAAGGTGATGGCGTAGGAATATCATTGCTTTGGCACGGTCTTGGTTTGATGCCTGATTTTTGTCTTTGATGGTGTCTGTCAGACCCATCGCATCAAGATGAATTTCAGCATCAAACACCCAATACATGTAGCTTTTGCCCGATATATCCAGGGCTATAAATTCAAGTTTAGAAAGATTTGACATTATTTAGGAAAAGAAAGTTCGTACCTCTAATACTTTCAAAGTATTTACTCGAGATGGCAGAGTCTCGTGCTGATAACATGTTATAAAATAAAGACTGTAAAGTAAAGACAAATATAGAGAGAAACTGATATATTATTCGAATTCAAACCGATGTACATAATGAACTGAAATCTCTTCTATTTATAGAAAAACGAAAGTTGCCGTGTAAGTTGCTATTATACCAGATATCCATAGCGGAGTACTGAATGGATAAGTTCATTGTACCCAATATAGATAATCTTCTACTAGGGGTAGTGATTATCTATAACGGAGTACTGAAAGGATAAGCTCATTGTATCCGGTGTGGATAATCTTCTACCGGGATAATGTTTATCCATAATGGAGTATCGAAAGGTTGCTTATTATACCCGGTATGGATAATCTTCTACCGGGGTAATGTTTATCTATAATCGGGTACCGAAGTGATAAGTTACTTCAGGAAGCTTATTTCCAATAGAGTACTAAATAGATAAACATATTTACGATGGATTCCCATATGGATAAGCTTTTTCAGGAAGCTTATTTACAACGGAATACTAAATCAACATCCATAATATAATATATTTATAACATAAAGGACTATCTTAAACCTATCTCCAAGCAAAAGGGACCATTTTTCTCATTTTCTCTCTAGACATCTTTTTGTAAAATTTGGCCGCAAATTTCCTTTGCCGTTTAGAGCAAAAATTCGTCTGTCTATCTTACCCCTCGAATTATAATCCCTCCTGTTAGTTAGATATTTGCATTTTTAATCCCTTAATTATTAGTAAATCTAAAATTTGGTCCTTGAAATAATTGGCTACTCACGTTTAACTTACAACTAACTAAAATGTGTATTTTTTTGGTTCCTGAGTCACTGAGCAGAACAAAGCTATTAAAGTGTTAATCAAGCAAAAATGATGGAACATTAGCGAGTTGAGAAGAGTCAATTAGAGATAAGATATTCGATTTTCCATTTCCCTTAAGAATGATGTTTATCTTGTGAAGCTATTGAGGTGATAGAGCATCAAAATTGTTGAGGCTTGACTTGGTCTATAAAGAGCAATCTAGTGCATTAAGCTCTTATTATGCGCGGAGTCCGCGGAAGGGTTGGAACCACAATGATCTATTGTGTGCGTCTTATCTTACATTTTTGCAAGAGATTATTTCCATGGCTTGAACCCGTAATCTCCTGATCACATGACATCAACTTTTCCAGTACGCCATGACTCAAACCCGTGACTTGGTCTATGATGTGATCAATCAAGCTAGATGTTGGCATTGAATTGTTATTGGACTTGGTCCAAAGTCCAAATTAATTTTGGCATGCAGGGGCGGATTCAGAGGCGGAAGGGGGCCATCTGAACCACCTTCGCCGCTGTATATATATAAAGCAAAATCTGATTTTTATTTTTATATATTATATTTTGCATTCCCTTGACATAGCCCAAAATCAATAGCTTAGTGATCAAATGAGATTCAAAACCTTTGTAAGGTTATTGGTTCAATTCTCACTAGTTACAATCTTTTTTAACTTTTTTCGTTTTTGAACCTTCTTAGCGGAAATCCTACCTCCGCCAGTGTTGACATGTTATTATCAATTTCCAAAACTGGGGTGAAAATTACGTATCACGAAATAGTAAAGGAAGATTTGACAATGTTTTGCAAAATCTAGGGTGCAAAATGTCAAAAAATTAAGTAGCTCAAATTGCATTCACCTCCCATGGTATTTGGAAAGGGACACAACTGGTAGAACCCTTCAATTGCAGATTACTACCCTTCATCTTTTCTCTCTGCGCCGTGAGAACAGATTTATACTTAAAAAGAAGCAAAAGAGAAATTAAAAGAATACCCCATCTTTAACAGGTAATTTCATTTTCTTCCCCTCTAAAAAGAAGAATCTAGAAACGCGATTTTGCACTTTGTTCCCACAAATTTCTCCGAATTATATTTCCTGTCTAAAACTGAGCTGATGAACCCCTTCGTTAGTTCGTCCTGTCCAAATCTCCATGTGTTTGTCTTTTCTTTCTAATTTCGTCTCTGTTTTTCTCATATTAATTTCTAATTTTTATGTGTTTGATTACATTTCGTGCTTCTTCTTTTATTATATTTACCATTATTTACTTGTTATATCCTCCATCCCAATTTGTATGTGATAGTGTGTTCCAAAAAGAATAGTAATTTTTTTCTACAAAAAAAGACAATTATGTGCACAAGGCATTCCGCGTTCACTTAGGCTCGGAAGGCCGCATTCTTAGGGACGACGTGATGTAGACAGTGTACTCTAATGCAAGTATTAGTGACTGCTTCTATGGCTCGAAATCTCACAGAGACAGCTTTACCGTTGATCCAATGCCCCTTCAATTTTTTTCTATATTTGCTTGTTATTTATGTTTAATGAGATTATTTATAGCCGCACTGAATTGATATAGTCTTATCACTAAATCATAGTTGTTAATTAATACACTTCTCACCACTAGTTTCTTGTTTTAGAACATAATTTTCAAAAGTCTTTCTTTACTTGTTAAACTTCGTGCCTAATCAGACGCTATATATAAATTGGATTAGTTATTAACATTCTAAAGATTTCAACTTTGATCTTTTGTGCAGGTTGATATTTTTGTCATGCAATTATTTCTTAGCTAGTATACTAGTATAGGATTTGCAACATCAGGGGCTCGTGTCAGCACGATTAGTTCGACACAATTTGTTAGACATTATATGTTGCACTTATGATGGTGTAACTGAAGCAGTGAGAATATACATCCGACTCAAAAACTTGTTTGAGTCTAAGGCGTAGTTATTGTTGTTGTTGTTGTTTATGTCGCCCTCGTTATGGCTGCAAAGAAAATCATTGCAATATGCCAATCAGGTGGTGAATTTATGACCAATGAGGAAAATGGGACATTGAGTTACACAGGAGGTGATGCATATGCTGTAGATATTGATGAGAAGATGAACGTGAATGTTTTAAAGCAAGAATTAGCTGACACATTTCAGTTTAGTACTGAGGAGATTACTATAAAGTATTTTCTACCCGGGAATAAAAAGACCCTGATCACAGTATCCAAAGATAAGGACCTAAAGCGCATGGTCAACTTTTTTAAGGATTCTGAGCAAGTGGAAGTCTTTGTTGTTGCTGAAGAAGCTGTTGTTGCACCCAATGTGTCCACTTTGCCTGCCAGTAGGTATTTTCTTTTCTTAATGTCAAGTGTAGTTTCTTTCTTTTCCAATTTGCACCGTTATATACATAAATATGAGATTAAGCTATATATACTGTCAGTATAACGAAGTTTTACACTATCAGATCACCTTTATCTATTGTAGTAGGTAAGTTGCGAATTCATATTTTAAGGAAGCTTACATGTTTTTATCATTTGGGTGACCTGATAGTGTAAAGAATTACAGTGACGGTGTATATATAACTTAAAATCTAAATAGATATTCCCTTTGTCCTTTTTTACGTGGTACTTTTGCCCTTTTAGTCTATTACAAGAGGAATGACATTCAGAAACAGTTTAACTTACTGTCCATTTTACCCGTAATGAGATAATTTACTGTCACAAAAATGTCTATGATTTAATTTATACAAGTTTTAAAGTCTTTCTTAAACTCCATGCTTAATCAAAGAACGGCACATAAATTGGGAAGGATGGAGTAATAGTGTTCTCTCACTAACCGTTTAAGATTTTAAGATTAGCGGATAGGGGTTCTCAAGCTTAGAAGAGGAGATAGTTTCACTATCATTAAATTGTGTGGCAAAGTAAGTAAGCAGTGCTAAAGCAAAGCACAAGGTTTGAATTATAAAAGATAGAAGGTTTAATGATATTAGAACAGACAAAATTTTCAATTATCATTGTTATCCATCAGCAAAAATAGTTCCACGAGCTCTGTCCAATTAAAAGAGTCAAGCCTTCACGTGAGGAGGCATGTTGCAGATGTAAATAAATAAAATTGTTCCCTATCGAACAACTTAAGGTTTTAGATGAGGTAGTTAGACATTTCAACACACTTATCTTGATTATGATTATTTTCCTTTTCCTTCTCTATTTTCCTTTAAATAGTTAACCTTGAATTCCAAAATTTTCAGTTCAATGCTGGTGTTATTCGTTTCTTGAACTCAACATGTGACAACCAGGACTTATCTTTACTGCACTCTGATTGCTAATGCATCTATGGCCTGCTGAATTATTCAGGTCCAGCAAGATAACTATGTCCGAGACAGCACTTTCTCCTTCTACCCCTGTGGATATGACACATCCCGACGATCAACTTATGGTTGATACGCCCATGGATACGACACCATTAAGTACTTTTCCGAGTAGCAATGACGACAAGCACCGTAGGGCAGCTACACAGTGGGAGAACTCCATTACTGGTGTGGACCAAAGATTCAGTAGTTTTACTGAATTTCGTGAAGCCTTACATAAGTACTCGATTGCGCATGGATTTACATATAAATATAAGAAGAATGATAGTCACAGAGTAACGGTTAAATGCAAGTCTGAGGGTTGTCCTTGGCGTATATATGCGTCAAGGTTGGCTACTACCCAGCTGATATGTGTTAAGAAAATGAATAAAAACCATACATGCGAAGGAGCTGCCGTGAAAGCCGGATATCGAGCAACAAGGGGATGGGTGGGAAGTATAATTAAGGAAAAGTTGAAGTCTTCTCCTAATTACAAGCCAAAGGATATCGCCACTGACATCAAACGTGAATATGGCATTCAGTTGAACTATTCTCAGGCATGGCGTGCAAAAGAGATTGCAAGAGAGCAACTTCAGGGTTCTTATGAAGAAGCATACAGCCAAGTACCTTTAGTTTGTGAGTGTATCATGGAAACTAATGCCGGTAGTCTTGCTACATTTGCCACGAAGGAGGACTCGAGTTTCCACCGGCTATTTGTCTCGTTTCATGCTTCAATATATGGCTTTCAACAAGGCTGCCGCCCTCTTCTTTTCCTTGATAGCACTGTTCTCTATGCAAAATATCAAGGAACCCTATTGGCTGCCGTGGGTGCAGATGGGAATGATGGTGTCTTTCCAGTAGCCTTTGCAGTTGTAGATGAGGAGACAGACGACAACTGGCATTGGTTTCTTTCTGAACTTAAATCTGCTGTCTCAACCTCTCAACCAATAACATTTGTTTCTGATTTCCAAAATGGTATAAAAGAGTCATTATGTGATATATTCAGCAAAGATTGCTACCATGGTTATTGTCTTCGGTACCTTGGTGAGAAATTAAATAAGGATCTGCATGGGAGGTTTTCACATGAAGCAAGGCGTCTTATGATCCAAGATCTATATGCTGCTGCTTATGCTCCAAAACTGAACGATTTTGAGCGCTGTGTTGAGAACATAAAGGCCATTTCGCCTGATGCTTACAGTTGGGTCGTACAAAGTGAGCCTGATCATTGGGCAAATNTACTACCCAGCTGATATGTGTTAAGAAAATGAATAAAAACCATACATGCGAAGGAGCTGCCGTGAAAGCCGGATATCGAGCAACAAGGGGATGGGTGGGAAGTATAATTAAGGAAAAGTTGAAGTCTTCTCCTAATTACAAGCCAAAGGATATCGCCACTGACATCAAACGTGAATATGGCATTCAGTTGAACTATTCTCAGGCATGGCGTGCAAAAGAGATTGCAAGAGAGCAACTTCAGGGTTCTTATGAAGAAGCATACAGCCAAGTACCTTTAGTTTGTGAGTGTATCATGGAAACTAATGCCGGTAGTCTTGCTACATTTGCCACGAAGGAGGACTCGAGTTTCCACCGGCTATTTGTCTCGTTTCATGCTTCAATATATGGCTTTCAACAAGGCTGCCGCCCTCTTCTTTTCCTTGATAGCACTGTTCTCTATGCAAAATATCAAGGAACCCTATTGGCTGCCGTGGGTGCAGATGGGAATGATGGTGTCTTTCCAGTAGCCTTTGCAGTTGTAGATGAGGAGACAGACGACAACTGGCATTGGTTTCTTTCTGAACTTAAATCTGCTGTCTCAACCTCTCA